GGATTCCGGCACGACACGCCACACTTTCGGATCTCAGAGCCAGCCTTGAGCACTCGAGTTCCGAGCTCCGCAGTTTTGAGTCCTGAGTACTGAGCCTGCAGAGGCAGTAAATTGCATTTAAAATGCCATAAATTAAGAGACAACAACTGACGATGGCGCCGATGTTGAGGTCGAGCCATTGCAGTTTCCACTTTTCGTGCGAGCGGCTATTAAAATGCATTAAAATTGTTTTTAATGTCAGCTGCATAGACGCACACACACACACTCACACACATACATATACTGGTGGTATGTTGTGTAAGCGACACCGGATAAAGGTCACACAAACACACACACATACAAGCCTCGCTTTGAATGCATGCATTAAAAAAAATAAATTTGAAAAAAATAAGCACAAAGAGCTGCGACCTCGCCTCCCCTCCTACGCCCACCTCGACCACCACCACCACCACCACCTCCTCCTGCTAATCCAATTTGTCATAATTAAATTACTTTAAGCCACTTTCCACTTGCCAGGACGTTTTTTCCACCCGCCTGCCCACTCTTGAAAAGTTTTGGAGGCCGCACTTAGTGCGCGCATAAACCTCAATTAAATGCTCGCCCCGAACAAAAGGCGTATCGGGTGGGAAAATCGGAGTGTGGAGGCGGAAAATGGTAGAAAAAGTAGGCGGGGGGAACGCGTTGTGTGTATGGGCGGATGGAAAAGTGCAGCATGCTTTCGGGCGCATTAATATCGAATGAGAAATAATTACAAGTGCTTAACCAGGCGATTTCGATGCTCATTACACTGCACTTGCTGGTCGGTCACAACCTACCCACTGCCACGCCCTTCTTCCGGGCTTTTTATACCGTTATTTCGCCCACAACAGACAGAGAGATAAACTCAGACAAACAAACACACACACACACACACACACACACATACAAATAAACATTTATTAATACGAGAAGACAAGCCGTTAACTGGCAATGGCAATAAAATGCAAAGAGCCCACACCCGCCTTTAGAAAATTGAATGGAAAATGTTGTCTGAATGTGGAAAATGTGGCAGGCAGGCAAGCTAAAGCAAGGCATCAACTAATATGCATTATGGGAAAAGATTAAGGTTAAGAATTAACTATTATTTTCAGCTTACAATATCAAATTCAATGAATTAACACAGAAAGTTAATCATACGCCATGTTGGCTTTGCTAACTTCACTTTATTACTCATACGCAATGTTGGCTTTGCTAAATGTTAGCTCATTAAAATTAATGAAAAACCCCACAGTCATTAAAATGAGCATAGACTATCAATTAAATTCGTATTAAGTTTGATTTTGTTTTCCCAAAATGTTTTTTTGTATTTTGAATGGAATTTACCAATTTTCGGGTGATTAGTGAATAAAATTTCACGTTTAATTATCGAATATAGCTAAAGAAATTTGATTTTAATTGGATGAAATGTAACGATGATTAATTCACTCGTCAATGGGAAAGTTAAAATGTTTCTGGCCATCAAATATATACGAGTGCAATTTGGTTTTGTGACGAGGCTAACAGGAAATGACTCGAATGTAATGATGATTGACTAATTGCTCGATGACAAGCAGAGCAAAAAAGAAAGGAAATTTCGGAAAATATGCTGGCACAATTATATAGATAAAAGATCAAAAAGGCGTATTGTGGGAAGCCACAAATCCAAAGAGAACATTTGCCTAAGTTATATGCCTTTCAAATGCAGTCAATTGTCAGAAAGAAAATTCCTTGAAAAATGCAATTTTATCTTTCACAATTGAGAAAATAAATAAAATGTATGCCTGGTGAAGAAAATCCGTTTAATGAACCTGGCCTAAAAACTAAAAACCCAAAAACATTGTCCTTTGTATGCAATTTTGATGTGCAGCTGCGTAAAAATTCAAGCCTCATCAGCTTAGCGCTTAGTGCGGCCATTTACCCGGAAAATCTCCGGTAATTGGACAAAAAAAAAAAAAAAAAAAAAATCAATTAATTGAAATCGTGCATAATGAATGTCGGACAAACGTGTTTACAAGACCGAAAAGGCAAACAAACCGATTTCCGATGACAAAATTACTCATTTACAATGCAATTTTAAAGGCTGCACATGCCAAGTATGTACTTTGGTTATATATACATATATATATATATATGTGTATATAAAGCTGTATATATGTTTTACATATATTATACATTGTATCCTCGTTGCCTTTGTTCCGTTGGACAGTAAATCATTGACCGAAATTGGTGCGCTTCAGTGGAGAGCTGGACAAACACGGCGTAAATTAATAAATATTAAAATGTCCAGCCATGTCCTGGATCTCCGCCTGTTCCTTCCCTTTCCCTCTCCCCCCTTTCTGCTGACTTACTCATCTGGCACTTGAAAATGAACAAAGCGATAAAAAGCACAAAACACTCAGCCACCGTGGAGGGGAGAGGTGAGCTGGAATGAGAGGGGGGGTGATAGAGCAAACAAACTTCTGAGCCATTACACAACAAAATGGCGTTAACAGCGCAGCAAAAATGGTCAAAATCTGCATAGTCCAGCACTAATGATACCCTTTTTACTATACTCTTAATGATATGAAAAAATCTATCTTTTATACTACCAAAAGTATCCCCATTTTACAGGGTGTGTGTGTGAGTGGAAACCAAGCGAAACAATATATAAACAACAATTCAAATGCAGAAAACACTCGCAAACACACACATACACACACTCAGTCACACACACTTGCTGTACGTATTGAAATAATATTTTTACATTTCATGTTGCCAAAAGGTTTATCCAGCTAGCAGACGGAAGTGAAAACTCTCTCTAACGGCGGCAAAAAGAAAAAAAACAACAAAAAAAAAAACATAAACATAAAAATAAAGTTCAGAAAAACCAAGTCCAACCACAGACGGACAACACAGCACCATAGGGAGTCCAGCGAGTGGTTTTGAGGAGGATGAGGGGTTTCGGACTGCCGCCCAGAAATATGCAATGATAATCAGAAAAGCAAACACGAAGTCGGACTGGGATGACTCCATGAGGGCCATCAGGATCAGCATTTGCATCCGCATCAACGTCAACATCAGGAGGCGAAATTCTGTTTGGTTTTCCCATTGGTTGCTGATGTTTATAATTCCGAAGCTTCGGCCACTCCTGTTTGCCAGTCAATCAATGCACAGAGAGAGAGAGAGAGCACTGTGGCAGGGTACTACTATACTAGAACCACTGCAATGCTGCTGCCACTGAACCACTGTAACACCATATGTGGCTTTGGCTTTTTGGTGGCCCACCCAGAAAACCAGAGCTCAGAACCCAGAACCCCAGAATCCAAACGAGCAGCGCTAATTGTGATGGATTAATTGGCCAGACCAAGCTCAACCGCATTATTTAGTTGCATTTTTAAGGCCAAATGACAATTGTGCTGTCTGTCGGTGAGTTACCAAGACCAGCAACAGGTTAATTTAAATCCTTGAAAGAGTCAAATTGAAAAGCTAACGCTTACTTAACTACTCATCATTACTAATTAATACATTTAACTAACTAAATTTATAATTCAATTATAACTACCCAGCCGAGGTCCTCACTTTTTATTACTAACCATAAAAAAAAAGAGAAGAGAAAAATGCAATCGAATTAGCTGATGCTGTGCTTTTATTTCCTTGACCTGCATTATTCACGAACTTCTCGCTTGCCACTTCACTATTTATTTATTTATTTACATGCAACATTTCAATTAAATTTCAATTTATTTCTGCAAGCTCATTGATTATGCATGGCAATTAATTTTATGCAATTTTCAGTACGCAATATTTTCAATTAGTCTGGGCCAACGGCAACATGAAGGCGGCCATAAGGACTTGGCCGGAGTTGGGGGGGTTTTTGGGTAAAACATAGACAGCATAATATGCTAACTATCCCCCCCTCCCAACCGATCTCCCGACTCGTTGTTTGTAATTAATACCAAAGTCGGGCACTGACATTCCAGAGATTGGATGGCTTCAGTGGCAGGGAAAAGGATTAGACAGAGGAGCAGCGAGGATGAACCCAGCAAGGGAGACAGATAGATGACCAAAACAGAGAAAGGCATATTGAATGTCCGAGGAACAGACAATTAGTTGCTCATGTGACAAATGCAAGGCCAGGGAAAATAAAGTGAGCCCCAACAAAGAAGGAAAAACAATAAAGAGAGAGAGAGAGAGAGAGAGAGAGAGGGGAGTGGTAGCTAGGTTGGCATCTAAAATTGCATTTAAATAATGAAAAAGGCTTAAACAAAAGGCCGGTCAAACAATAGCAAACTGCAGCCAAATGGCCAACAAAAGTGCAATGGAGAAGGGCTAAAGGAAGGAAGCAAACGAAGGTTGAATAAAGGAAGGAAGGAAGTAACTTGGCTCAAATCAAGAACATGTAAATACAGTCAGGCCAACGTTTGACGCTTGGCTAGCCACTGTCCAAAACTCCCTATACCTCCGACCCTTCGACCCTTCGACCCTACGACCTCTGACCCCAGTTTCTATCCGCTCCAAAAGAAGAGAATTGTAAATTACAGTTGCATTCATTCATTGGGAAATTCTTCTTCTCTCTTTCGGCCGCCTGGGGATTCATGAATAAATGACAGCTCAACTTTGCTCCCACTCTGTCATCAGATATATACATCTATATAATACTATATATATATATTTATATATATATCGTATGTACGCTGGGGGAAATTTGAGACTCACCTCATTAGCACTTTGTTTGCCTGGCCACGCGGCGTATGTGTAATATGCGATATTACACCATGGCACACCAAAAGAGATGCAAATAAGAAGCTAATTAGGCGCTGATTGATGCCTCTTCATGACCAGTCAGTCAGTCAGTCAGCCAGCCAGCCATCCAGCCATTCAGCCAGTTAGCCATCCACACCATCACCATACAATATGGTAATGAATGCTGGAATCTTGGCTAATGGGGACAAGTCCGTAACCGAAATGTCCCGAAAAGATAGCCAAAATGCTGGCAAAGGGAATTGCATAATCATTCCGTCGATCCTTTGGCTGGGTAGGGTTGGCAAACCGCAGAGAGCAGGCGGCTGGAACTAAGCGCCTTAAGGCAGCTGTTACCCACCCTTCTCTCCCTTCGATTTTCCCCGACACCACCCCCTCTTCCTTCACTCATCAGCTGCCAGTTGTCAATTGTCAGTTGTCACTTGGCTGCCTCGTGTGGCCTGCTAATGCGATGCGTTGCGATGCGACGCGCATCTGAATGATGCAGCAACTGAAAATGCCCCAACTATGTAGCAACTGTAGCAAAACTGACTGGCAAACTGACTGGGCCAGATAGGCTGTGGCAGAGGCAAGGCTCACTAATTGCCACCGAACGGAAGGCAGAACAGACGGATACCAAGTCGCCACCCATGAGATCGCGTTAGTTATGTTGTTACGATGGATGGTTGACTTTGTTGGGTACAGCTTAGGGTCCCTGGGAGAATCAATGATTACCGAGAGTCTTCAACCGAAATATGGCTCTTTTGTGTTCCCAAAACTTTAATCTAATGAATGTCTTTGATTTAGTAAGTTTGTGCCAGGAATTTAAGTACTTAAACTTAAGTTTAATACTTATAAAAGTTGTTGGATTAAAGGCAAACTTCTTAGACACATTAGCAACTTTATTCCAAGACAACTCAATGCACATCTATTTCCTTTCCCTTTGAAGTTCCCGAACTCCGCCATAGGATTATGTTCCGGATGGCCGTCAACATCGGACGGAACTTGGTGGTCTGCCAGTGGATATTATCGCTGCCGCGTTCCAGCAGGATCTTGATCATCCCCTCCGCACCACTCATATCCCTTAAGATCTTATTTAAGAACTGGCTTAAAAAGTTCAAGTCCTTTGAACTGGACAGGCACTCGATCAGTGGCCTCATGAGACGTACCAGCTTGTTGGTGGAGTTGCTGCAGCTTTTAATTGAGGAAAACTTAAGTTTTGTTCTGTTCAGGTAAATCCTTTCTCTTCTTTCACTTACTAGTTACGTATGTGCTGCATGTTGGTGGACACATACCGCTTGGCCAGATCGTAACCCACGGGGTTGGAGACAACTGTCTTGAAAGTTCGCCAGGCGTTATGTTTGCGTGGGCCAGCAGTCTCGAAGATCCATCTAAGGACTCGGTCCAAAGCGAAGGGGTTCCGCGAACAGGCCAGAGCGGTCAGAAGGGATTGCTGTTCGGCGGCAAAGTTCGATCTCTGGAACATCAACTCCACGGTTTCCCTGTCCGCCTCGGTACCAAACCTCACAGCCGCGCAAAGGACCGTTTCCCATTCTCGGATGGTCATCCAGCCGCTCTTTGCCGGCGTTGCCTTTACAAATTCCCGACGAGCCAGGCTTACGCAGGCGGGCAGCTCATATTGACAGGCCAGACCCAAGATCAGCGGGCGGTGTGTCATATTCCCGGAAGTAAGATCTGTGGACACCTGCTGGAATTGCCGCTCAAGAAGGAGGCGCATGTATGTCTGAAAAAGTGCGTAAAACCTGACCTTAAATTCCCGTTCTAAGATTAAATGGTGAAGTTCCCTAAAAACCTAAGTTAATAAGGCTGAAACCTTGCCCAAATTGGGTCAAAACATATACCACCCCTTTGAGTCCCATAGACCCACCTTATAGACCCGGTAATTGTGATTCCTCTTGGCCACGTTGTTTATCCGTTCGAAGTTAATGCTTGTGGCTTGCCATACTACGTATTCGTCCTCATGCACAAGATAGCCGAGAATGCCCAAGACCATGGGATATGTCATGACACCACTCCAGGCCAGATTCAGGAGATCATCGACTAGCTGGGCCCGGCTGACACGATGGATCAGGCGGAACTTGTTCGGATCGGATAGCGTTTCGTTGAGCAACTGCCAGTTGCGGAGGTCATAGTTCACGCGAAATGGTGCCGAGTGTCGGGCGTTAAGTAACAGCCAGTCACTTGGTTTCGCCAATAGCTTTTCCATTCGAACGGGTCTGATCCGAACCTGGGTGCGTGAAAACGGACAGGTAAGCCATCGATTGGCAGTGGAGCTGTTTGACTGCTTGCAGCTGGGGCACGTGTAGCTGAGTGGCACCCACCAGCAGGGAGCCTTAGCCACGGGCTTTTTGAACTGCGAACTGATGAAGAAACGCTTCTGCTCCACAATAACCGAATGATCGTCATAGTTCCGTATGACCGTGAGCAGAGGATATCCTGGCTGCTTTAACCAGGATTCCATGGTGCGGGTGATGTTAAGACCCTTGCCCAGGCGTCCATTGCGATCCACGTGCAATTGCAGGACATCCCAGAAGTCATAAGAAGTGGCATAGCGATTGGCATAGATCAACAGGTAGCGACGAATTGCCGACAGCCACGCCTCCTCGCCCATGACACGATGCAGCATGTCAAAAAGAACGGTGGCCTTCGTCTCACCAATGTCATTATATGCCGCCCAAACGTGGGTCTCATTGGGTACCAATGCCGCCACCAGATCCGTATGCACATAGGCATCGTAGTCGAGCACAGTTTGGTAAAGCTTCATGGCGTGCCGCTCCTGGTAGTCCCATTCCGGACGCAGTGAATGCACTCCGAACCGAGAAAGGTACAGGGAAAAGGCATTCTTTAGCCAGATTTCGTTCCACCAAGGCACCGATACTAGGTTGCCAAACCATCTGTGCACCACCGTCTCAGCCACTGCCCGTGCCACGCCCTGCTGATCGGCCATCGAACTCCGTTGGCTATCGTATAAAAGGGACTCCTCCGAAAAGGTTGGCAGGCCCCAGGTCTCTTTCGCCTTGAAGGCAAAGTCTGGCAGGGCCAATAGGTCAACTTTTGGGTAGCCGAAGGTGCTGTTGAAAAGATTCTCGTAGAAGGTAAGTAGCGGCGCCACTACTGTGTTGGCGAACTCCGTCTGGGCCAGGGCATCCGGGCGGGCCCATGTGCTGATCGGACAGCCAGGACGATCGTTGGACGTAAATCCTGGCCTATCAAACTTGCTGATCGAGAAGGCCACTAGGTATGTTTGCATGGGTTCAGTCTCCTGGAACTGCGTCCACACGTAGCCCTTCATGTTGGCGCTTTAATTCATAGTGATTAAAAACGGCTACTTAAGAGTCGGATTAAGCTAATAATTTGGAAAATTCTGATTAAAAAGACCGAAAGGTGTCTTCTTTCTATCTCCCAAACCAATCTCAATCCCCTTCAAGGGCCATTACTCACTGTCGAATGGTCCGTTTGACGGGCATATTGGACAGAGCGCGATACTGTTGCGGATGTGCCAGGTTGATCGTGAACGGGGTCCTGAAAATGGGATCATCGAAGCAGGGAAAAGCCTCTCTGGCGTGATTTGGTTCAAAATTTGTGGCCGCCAGCCACTGGGCAAGCGTGGTGTTACGATCCACATAGGTGCTACTATAGAAACCGGTATGATCTGTCCTTAGGACACTGGAGAATGAAACGTTCAGTGCGTATGTGACATTGATCATAAGAGCGTCCTTAAGGTACACAGTCATCCGGCAAAGTCTAACATCTATATCCATTTGGCTGACAGTCACAGGATTGCCATTCTTGACGGTTAAGGCTACGCCATCCTGTTTGCTAATCACCAAATCCCGAACATTAAGTACCAGCTTCTTAGTAGGCCGTTCCGATCTCAGGTCAATCAGTACTGAACCGCCAAATGGTTGATAGGGCTGGTTGATTCGCGTCACGATGTCCAGGCGATACCGCAGCGGCACCAGCCATCGCGGCAAACGGTTGCAGGCTGTATGCCCTAGCTCAAGCGTGATAAAGACGTTGAGTATTGGCAGGTAGTAGCCCAAGCGCATGACTTAAAAAAACTAGAACTTTTCTCTAGTTCTAGTTCACCTGTTCGTGGCAGTAACGTGTCCAATTGGCCATTCGTCAGGCTTGGTTGTTCCATAGATGAAGAGCATCTAACTGCTTTGATACCCAGTAATGTTTTAATACAAATATATTTTTGGATATATTCAAAACTCAAATGGTAGTCACAGTAATCCCTTATATCCAACCACACTAACTTTGTTTCCGACTGTTGTTTTTGGATTAAATGGCCATTTCCCTTAACAGTTACTCTTATTAGCAAGTTAATTAAAAGTAAACAAAAGGAAAATTGAATATTTTAAACTGTTTAGCCTGAGATTAATATATTTTTTTCATATTTGTTTGTAGAAAATATGCTTACAGCATTTGTTTACATTAGTTTACAGTTACAGTCGGCTTGTTGGCTTGTGTGGTAGCCTTTTGGTAGATGGTCACCTTAAATATCGATATTATTTCGATAACCGATGTTAAGCTTAGTCAATTGTAAACAAATCTTTTGTATTCAAGACGCGAATAACAAAGTTTATAGTTTTAAGCGAAATAGTTGGGTAATTTGTTATTTTTTGAACAGAAAACATATAATATTAAAAATCTTTAATCTTTTCCATTGCTAGCCTTAAACACCAAGCAAATTAATAATGTAAATTATGACAAGACTTTGGCTTACTTTCGATTGAAAGGAAAATTCATGCAGAAGATGTAATAATTCGAAATGGAATCTGAATCCGATTTTGTGGTTTTCATCTGTTTTGCTGGTGATGGTGGGAATCCAATCGAATTCGCACACGAAAAGCACACAGAAGGAGCGGGCAGGAAGAAAAGAGACAAAAGGGGGGTGGGGCAAAAGAGGCAAAAAGGGGACAAACCACAGCACAATGTCATTAGCGCATGTTGGTCTCCTCTTTCACTCGTTATCTTTGTTCGAGTCCGTGTGTTTGTGTGGGGCTTGGCAATAAATTTCCAATTTTCGTGCAATTTTCGCAGAGCAGGCGGTGTATATACACACACACACACACATATACATACATACATACACCTTTGGAGGTGATTGGGACTGCGGAGGAGTCCGGTGTTCGGTGTTCGGTGTCCGCAGTCCAGAGAGCTTGGTTTTTAGGGGCCAGCCTGGCGTACTCATAAATACATTGACCAATAACATAATTTTTGTTTGTGTTGGTATATTGCCAAATGACCTCGTTACCCCGGTGGGAAAAATCGAGGGGCAAGGCAGGAAAATCACTGCCACAACACGACACAAAAAGGCGACAAAGGCACCGAACGTGCGGCATATGTTGCTCTGTGTGTGTGGTGGAGGCGGTTGTTGGGTTGGGTTGGGTTGGGTTTTTTATTTGGGGGCAGCATTGGGCGAAGTAGGCGTATCCCTGGCCCTAGCGGAAGTCGGCTGAGGCCCCTCAACGTTCGCTCAGCTCGCAGTGCGGCATTATAATTAATGGCCATGTTGGGGCATATGACCCCGCATTTCCATACTACCGACCTTTCGTCCGAACCACCTCCCCTCACCATCCGACTTAGGATATTAAATGTAACGATGCAAGCGGCGAGGCGAGACAGTTGGCTATGAATACGACATGTTGTGTGTAGTGTGTTGTGTGTTGTGTGTGTGTGTGTGTGACGAACCAAACAGTCCAACTGCCCACAAGGTAGGGCTCGTGCGGCTGCTGCTGATGATGATGATCACATGCTATTAAACCGCAATACAATAGCAATTTTCAAATAAATGATTTATGGCTCTGGACATGACACACACAGCTGTCGAGTGTATAAGTGTGTGTGTGTGTGTGTGTGTGCGGAGTGCTGGCAAATGCCAAAACTGCCGCAGTCCTTTGCTGCCATAAACCAAACGCCAAAGACTGGCCCAAAAAAAAAAAAAAAAAGAAAAGCAAACCAAAATGGGGAAAAACTGAAAGCGAGAAGAATCACAACTGGAGACATGAAAGCCAGAAAAACTGAGAGCCAAATGGCCGGCGGACCGTCGGAAGGTCAGAGGTGCTGACTGAGATATGCTGAAAGTGGATGTGGCGGGGGTTTTGATGCATGGCCCAGGGTTCAGTAAGTCGATTTCACTTGGCCAATTGTTCGAACTGCAGTCAGTGAATTAAGCCAGGCAATTGCCACCATGGCCAAATTGTCAGCCAAGAATTTACTTCGATTTCCTTGCACTTTTCCATAGTCATTGAAGCCACTTCACTTTGCGATGAGCGATGATGATAGTAGTAGTAGTAGTAGTAGTCAGTAGTAGTTTGCCTTCATTTTCCAGTTCAGTCAATTTGATTAAGAGCACATGATTAAGATTATAGCAAGGATAGCTTCAGTGTTTATTAACTACTACACCTCTCAGCTAACTCTCTTAGTTAGATGCTGGCTGCATAATTTAGCTAAATCTCAATCTAAGACATTCTGAGACTCGTCGTTCTAGTTTAAAATCCATTACGTTAATGCTCTGGGATTATGATCAATTTTGATGAATGAAATCCTGCAGTCATAACGTCAACTAGGGAATCTTCACTCCCGTTCACTTCCTGTCTAAATCGCTTTCGATTGATGAACCTGATTCGAGATTGTTGGCTCAGGTGTTATTCAGATGTGCTGCTCGTCATCTTCCAGTTGGCAAGCCCATCTACTCACACATATCACGTGCTGTCATGTGTACACCCATACACCCATACACCCATACATACATACACCCATACATACATACACTCGCTTTTATGTGAGGGATGGCAATCTGTTGATTTGGCCACTTGGCATGGCACACTTTGCGACTCAGACGCTGAGGAAGTTGAAAACAGCGAGCCGAGAAAATGATGATTCCGTCTTCTCATGAATTTTCTTTCCCTTTTCCCTCTTTCCTCTGACTCTGCTTGCTGTTGCCTCTGGCAGCCTCCCACCTTGCAGCCGCTATTAAGTCATAACATTTATATTTCCTTTTTTTATACCCTGACAAATCAGCGCAGAGAAGTGGAAGTGGAAAAGTTGAATTGCGGAGTAGGGAACTGTCATGGCCAAGCAAGGCAACGGGTACATTCACCTGTCCCTGTTACAAACACACACACACCACATCCAACGATGTTGATGTCTCCATTTAGTGTGCGTTGTTGCCATTGTTGCTGCTGTTGTAAATTTTAATGCAAAACTCGTTTATAAACACACAACCGGCACAACGAGGCGAATTGGGGAAGGGCATATTCAGCGAGGCAAAGGCAAACGACATCGTCATTTTCTGCTCAAACGTTTGCGTGACAGTGCCACCCACTAAGCACGCCCACTCGCATAACCCACACCAAGCAGCCATCATTTTACCAACCCCCCTCTTGAAGCCACCCGCCAAGTTGGCTGCCATTTTGACAGATGCCAAACGCAAAGCGAGCAGCAAAGCTCCACATTTTTTATTTGTCTTTTTTTTTTTTTTGTTGCTTGTGCTTGGCTGGAAGGCAAATGGCCAAAAAGCTTACAAAATCATCGAAAGGGACAGATACCCTAAAGGTTTGTGAAAGTCTTAGGAGTATTCTTAAGTGAAACCAAGGACTAAGGATAAAGATTCAAGAAGTCTAGCTAATATCCATCACCAAAGTTTGGGTTTAGTTTAGGCCTGCCTTAGGCTTTCTATACTTTTGCTATTAAATTCATTTTATTGTTATTAAACTTTATGGTTTCTGCTTCCTGTAATAATTAATAAGTAATGTTTTTTAATCTAAAAACACTGAATGGGTGTTCTGGTTTAGCTTTTCGAAAATATAAGCTAATATTTTTAGTTTTTTTGGAATAATTAGAATGCAGATGTAAATATCAATACTAAACCTCTCATTACCATTAAGTTTCTTATTAGAAATATATAATACTTTATCAAAACCAATGAAATACATTGCAATAATACCCTATGCTTGTGTTTGTTATATTAATATTATAGGGTGACGACAAAAACAGGGAAACAAAATGTCCCGCAGCTGGAGAAATAACCTGCGGGGGCAAAGTTTACGGCTTTGCTTTGGACCGTCGTTAGTTGGGGGGTTTTACGACTCGTAACGCTTCTGACCTACCAAACACCCACCATCCAACCTACCATTGACCATAAAGATTAATACCACGTACCCCCGAACGCCATCCGGAGCGATAACAGTTGTGAGGTCATTGCAATGGCTCGCAAACTGTGGCAATCGTTATTATTGCAATTTCATTAGATGAAAAAGCCACAAAAATGAAATAATTAATGGCTGAGTGAAACTGAAATAATTGCCAATGTTATGCCCGAGGGTTAGGGTAGGCGGTTAATGATTTATAATTTATGAAATTGAACAAAAATTATAACAATTAAATGGGGAATTTCGATTGGAATGCCAATCTAAGCGGTCAATTAATTACTAATGCGTTTAACAAAACGAGACAAAAGAGCTACTTAAATTAAGTAGGAACAAAAAAGGGAGTGGGATAGGCATTTATAATCGAAAATTATTTGAAGTTAAAGGGATTATAGTTGGGCTAATAGTTCCTATGAATCACTCCTATGAATCATAACAACTCCCTAACTAATAGCATTCTTAAATCATAATTGTACTTTCCATTAATACATCTGTTTATTCCTATACTTGAACGACAATGTAAGCGGAAAGTTCGTTTATATTTATTTTTGATCCACTGCCAAAAGCTGCAGAACTGACCCAACACGAACTGGCAACCAGCAACTGGCAACTGGCAGCTGGCAACTCAGGCGGACTACGACTATATGTGGCCATATCGAGGCTATGAAATAGAAGAAACAAACAAAAAAAAAAAAAAAAAAAAAACTCCATAAAAAGTTTTGCAATTGCTTAAACGTGCCGTTCGGGCCGCATCATAAACCAGGACAAAACTTTCCCGCCCACCGTGTTCTGCCTTTTCTGTTGGGGACTTTAAAGGCTTTAAGTTCGAATTGCATTCCCCCCAAATGCCGGGCATTCCAAACAAGTCTGGGGTCAGGCGGGGTGGTGGGGGGTGTCAAAGTGCATGGCTATGTGTGTGGGTTCTTGGTTTGCTGGTATTTTTACCAAGCTTGCAGGCTTGTGTGCCACATTAGCCACATTCGGGGGCTTCTGCATTTTGAATTGCCTACTTTTCGGGGCAGTCATTTTGGGGGCCCTAATAACTTACGGCTCAGTGGTAAAGGCAACAACAGAAAAGTTAGCTGCATTGTTCAAGATTTGTTTCAATTTCCACAGGCAAAACTCAGGCTTCCTTTTAGTGCAGCAATCCTAAACACACACACACATAGGTATATAATATATACATAGAGCTAGGAACTGCTTAGATATGCTGGCCCTGTGCATGTATGCAAATAAGCAACAACAACGGGCAACACAACTGCTTGGCATACAATTTCAAATGATCTAATGAAACAACAACAAAGGCACAATAAAAATGCCACACGAAATGGGGATGCAGTGCGGTGGGTTGCATTGCCTGAGTGGCAGGAAAGCTCAAGGAAAACTCCATTTTACCTCCCCTCCCCCATCATCCACATACACATCATTGTGTTAGAGGAAAAGAAAATAAAAGGTACAGAAAAGAAAAGTAAAGGGATAAGAAATGCAATGAAGAAGAACTGAAAATGTGGAAAATCCGCTCAAGGAAAAGAAGAATCAGACTAAAGTACAATAGGAAACTTGGATGGAAAAGCAATGGAAAAATGGATTGACAGAATACAATTGCAATGAAAAACAATGCCCAGTTCTTAGTTCATTACTTTGGTTCTTAGCAGCTTAATTTTAAACATTCCTTGATGGATTTACACTGTTAAAGATTACAGATTTTTATGCGGATTATCTTAACCTAAATTGTATCTTTAAGATTGTTCCAAAAAGTATAAATTCCTTAAACTTCTCTTAGGTTTACAGTTCATAAACATAACTAAGAAACCAAAATCTTGTTAAAGACTCAATTTTCCAAATAAAATTCTCCACAAAACTTTAAGCTAAAGAAAGTAGGAAAATTCATAACAAAATTGAAGTTGAAATGAAAATCTCCTGCAAAGCATTGCCAATTTCTCTCTTAGTCCTTAGATAAACTTAATCAAATTTGTTGTCCCTTAACAAAACTGTGGAAATCTTGTTAAATTTTGCATCGGTAACTGGTTATCCTGGCTACCCCCGCCCCATTTCAGTTTCTGTTTCTGTTTCAGTGGCTGCAACTGTTTTACTGCGGCTGGTTGTATGCCATCCGAATCCCCGAATTCGAGCTACAGCAAACCCCTCGTTCAACCCCTCAAGGGAGTTTTATCAATGCAGCGTCAGGCGACGCCAAAGGCGACGACCAAAAGCAGTTTGCGGCTGAAGCGGGAAGGATATGGAGAATGGTGGATGCAGGACGCAGGATGGATGGTTGTTGGAGAGCTGCCTTGCGGCTAACGGAAACCGCAGAAACCGCTTTAGCCGCAATGACTGCGCTTGCCATGTGCCCTGCATTGCCACGACACCCCCCCACTCCCCCTTTTGCCAACCAACAATCCGCCCGCGAGCCCTTTTCAACATGCATTCCCAAAAAAAAAATAAAAAAAAAAAACGATATGGCGGGAGTTCACTGAGAGGAAAAAACGATCGGCCAATGCAAGCAAAAAAAAAACCCCATTTCGAGTATAAATCATGTCAAAAGTGAAGAAGGCCAGGAATGGAATTTAAAGTCCGAAATATGGTTACCATTCACCGCCCATTCATATGAAATATTCAACATAATCTTCTGTTTAATCTTAATTCAAGTGCAAATATTTATACAATCAATCGCATTTCCATGCCACATGCCACATAATTCATCATTCGATTCAAGTGATAAAAGCAAAAGGACACCACCATTGCCTCTACTTGCTTTTCATTTAACTATTTGTTTTAATGAAGAAATATTGCCTGATTTTAACAGTTTAATAAGTTAACGAGAATTGAGACAAACTTTTGAATGGACGGAGGAACCCAGTGAAATCTGCCAGTAAAGTTATTATTATATTAACTTAAGTAGTTAACTAATTAAATGCCACAAATTATACCACCAATGTGCCGCACATGCCACTAAAGTTTGTTTCTGGTTTTGGAAAATCAATAAATCCGAAAAGGTAGTTATGATTTTCTAGTTACTTTGTGGAAAATCTATTAGCTGACCTCCATTTATGTTTAAAGGGAAATCTTTGTAGCAACTTAAGTTATTAGTTAACTCAAATTGAAGCTTTCATTTCTCTCAGTGTTGTAACTACAAGCACGCATGCGATTTCCTCGATTCGCAATTGTGCAAATGCAGTTTTGGTCGGGACAGCTTCTTGCTGGTGGTTTTTGCTTCATTGCAGATTGAGAATTCGAGGTTGGTGAAACTTTGGCAGCACAGCAAACTCAGGACCAGTCAACAGCCCTGCTTATACCTTCTTTTCCCATTAACCTTTGACTACTCTTAGCCCCCCCTTCCACCCCCATCTCCTTAATCTCCCATCATTTTCTGCACTTAGTTTCGATTGTTTAAGCCACTTAATTAACTCGTTGCGGTTTCTCTTTTGGCCATTGTTGTTTTTGACGACTTTTTTTGGCCATGCCATGTGAATTATGTTTAATAAGTGGTAGAGTGTTGAGGTGGCTTCTTTTCGCTCACCGACCGCGTAACTGGAGCAGAAATTAGCACAGAGAAAGCTCGGTACCTATGAAAATGAGACGGGGGGGCCGGGGTGCTGGGAACAAATACGACATTCATTTTCATGACCTCCCCTTACGCCCTTCTTATTTTACCATTTTCCAGCACTCCCTAGTGCGGCCAATTCAACGCGAAATTCACGGGTTTCCTGCAACGTGAAAACAGCCGGAAAATTATACCAAAAAGGGCGGTAACGGACAAGCAGGAGGGGCGTGGCTGGGATGGGAGGGCGGAGGGAGAGAAGGGGGAACTGTTTCCGTCGGACGTCGACGGCCAATTGCCACTGACCGAAAAATCGAGTAAAGAGAAGCCAAAGACAAAGTGCAGCAGCGGCAGCAGCAGCGGCAGCAGCAGCGGCTGGGGGGAAAATTCGAGTTGGCAGGGGGTGTTAGATAGATAGAAGGCAGAAATAATATTGGTTTAGCTTCTGCAGTTACATGGTGAGGGGGGGGAAGGAAAAAAGGCAGCCAGAAGGGGTTTTCCAAGAAGGTGGAGTACATAAATTTCCAAGCGGACAGCAAGGGGGGCGGTAAAAAAGATATATTTCCCTCTCACTCCCCTTCTACGAACATCATTCGCCCTTAAAAACAACAGAGAAATTCCCAAAAGCAAGATAACAGATTCCTTACCATATCTTAGCATATAATGTATTTACGATATATCGTTCTTGTATAAATTGAACCAAAAGTGCTCAACTCACCTGAAAAGAAACAAAAAAGGGAAATGCATTTCGATTAGTTAGAGTAGGAAAATTCTTATTCCTAAGCTGTTAAATAAAAACAAAGAGAGAGAGAGTGAGAGAGAGAGGGGGTAGGGGTAGGGGAAATGTCATGCCAAAATGAAAAGATATAGGATTAAGAATTATAGAGAAATCAAATTGAAAGAGTCTGAAATTGTAAGGGAAAAGACCAACTCAACTTCAAAGTCAACTTCAAAATTGAAGCCAGCAAAAAGGCTGACATGTGTGAGTTTTTGCAAACTGTTAAATAACTAGAAATGCTAGCACTATATATATATATATTCTAGGTTTATGCGGAATACTTTTCATGCAAAACCAAATTCGAACAAGAAAGTAGAATATTATGATTTCTATAAGCCATTTTCTGTTCACACAAATTGTGGCCTATTTTGATTTCACATATTTGTAAATTCATGAAATTCATAGCATAAACACCGCATTAGATACACACTCACATATACACACACACACACCAAAGCAAGGATAAAAGTGTGTTTGTATATGATTTGTTTATTTGGTTGGAAGTCATGCAAATGAGACTCCGACTGAGGCACGCACAACAAACTGAACTTTTGACTCAACTTCCATGTACATACAGTGCCGAACTAAATTTTTGGCACAGAAGGCTTCATGAACTTTAGGGCACGATTTCTCCCCTTAAAATTGAGATATTTAAATAAACCAAAATTTATACATATAATGTTATAAAAACATAACACGACAAAGTTTATTTCAACTTTTTACCTTCAATGGTTGATTTTTAAAAATTAAATAACATAAATAAGAGGTGAATTTGGCTGAACAAAATTTTTGGCACACTTATTGAAAAACTTAAAAATAAATGAAAATAACTAAAATAAATACTTTGTGGGTAAGCCATTTTGTTTTATAAAGGCTTCCAACCGTCTTGGCATCGAAGAAACGAAATTTTGGGTTGTTTCTGCCCCAATATTCTGCCCCTTTTTCTATTAGAGCCACCTTCAGCCCGGAATTTGTTTTTATCGCGCGTTTTTTAACGCACCTGTCCAGCTCCTTCGCACAAATCTTCAATGGGATTGAGGAGGATGCGGCAGAGTATGTTGGACGTTATGTGCGACCCACATACGCACATCATAAGCCGTATGCTTTGGGTCATTATCATGTTGAAATGGGAATGATGGTGGGAAGTTCAACTTTTCGGCACTTTTTTTTTTAATTTCTTTTTAAAATATCTAAATAATATTTTTGTCCATGATGCCTTCTATAAACTCCAGTTCGTTGACCCCTGAAGCGGACATGCAGCCCCACACAACAACGCCTCCACCACCATGTTTCACCGTCGATAGAAGGTTATTTTTCTGCAGCTCAGTATTCGGTTTTCTCCAAACGCATTGCCCGCCATCAGATTGGAAAATTTTGATTTTGCTTTAATCCGAAAATATTACATTATTCCAAAAATCAATTGGCTTCTTCAAATATTCTTTCGCATAGTCTAATCGCGTCTTCTGATTCCCTTTTGATATAACTGGCTTTCTTCTAGCCACTCGGTTATTATAATTTGCCTGATGCAGGGTCCCTTGCACCGTTATTGGATGAATTTATTTTCCAAACTTTTTTTTAACTTCTGCTGCGATCTGAGTTGAAGAAATTTTTGGGTCCACCTTCACCATTTTCATAATGTGGGCCTGTTCCCGGGCGGTCAAAGCCTTGGGTCGTCCGGTGTGTTTTGCGCTTTCCAAAGAAGAAGCTCCCTTAAACGGCTTATGATGTGCGTATGTGGGTCGCACATAACGTCCAACATACTCTGCCGCATCCTCCTCAATCCCATTGAAGATTTGTGCGAAGGAGCTGGACAGGTGCGTTAAAAAACGCGCGATAAAAACAAATTCCGGGCTGAAGGTGGCTCTAATAGAAAAAGGGGCAGAATATTGGGGCAGAAACAACCCAAAATTTCGTTTCTTCGATGCCAAGACGGTTGGAAGCCTTTATAAAACAAAATGGCTTACCCACAAAGTATTTATTTTAGTTATTTTCATTTATTTTTAAGTTTTTCAATAAGTGTGCCAAAAATTTTGTTCAGCCAAATTCACCTCTTATTTATGTTATTTAATTTTTAAAAATCAACCATTGAAGGTAAAAAGTTGAAATAAACTTTGTCGTGTTATGTTTTTATAACATTATATGTATAAATTTTGGTTTATTTAAATATCTCAATTTTAAGGGGAGAAATCGTGCCCTAAAGTTCATGAAGCCTTCTGTGCCAAAAATTTAGTTCGGCACTGTATGTAGGTGGGGCGGGGGACATTTCTAATTATTTTGCATTTTTCAACTCAGTAGAAGGGGATGGGGATGGGGGCGAAGGAAAGGACAAACTGCAGACAGGAAATTAAAATTAGAATGAGCAGCAAAAATAATCAAAAACGGGCACGATTTAATAGAGTAAAAAGTTTTACGTTTGCCAGAAGTTTATAAAGTTTTCATCTGCATTTAAAGGCTTTTCAATGACCCAATTTTCCTGTTAACCACAGGAAGAAGATCAACTATTGGTCTTTATGGCCATACTAAACAATTTGTTTTCCTTTTTAACGAAATAACTTTGGGTTTATACAAGGAAAAACAAAGATTTAACGAGTTGTTTTGTTGTAGGCTGACTATATGGTCACCTTAAATATATCGATATACTTTCGATAACCGAGGTTAAGCTAAGGATAGGATAATTGAATTTTAAGCATTTTTCGATTGGATTCTTTCTTGGTTGAGAAGTGAAATCAAAGAGACGTATGGAGTATACCTACAAGCAGACTTTTACAGTTTAGTTACTAATTATGTTTAATATTAAGTTAAAGTCCTAAAGTTATGCCTTCTCCTAAAACATATCTCAATCAAACAAGGACAATTAGTTCACATATCTAAACGATCGGGGCCATTAGCAGTAGAGGCTGACTATGTGGTCACCTTAAATATCGATATAATTCCGATAACTGATGTTAAGCTAAGATAAGATTGATTTTTAAGCTTTTTTCGATTAGATTCATTCTTGGTTGATAAGTGAAATGAAAGAAATAAACTTTTAAAGTTTAGAACTTATTTGGTTTAATTTTAAGTTAAAATCCTTAACGTTATGCCTTCTCTTTATACATATCTCAATCAACAAGGACAATAAGTTCACATATCTAAACGAATTGGGCCTTTAGAAGTTGTAGGCTGACTACATGGTCACCTTAAATATCGATATAGTTCCGATAACCGATGAACCGAGGTTAAGCTAAGACAAAATCATAGATTTCAAAGCATTTTTCGATTGGTTTCATTCTTGGTTGAAAAGTTAAAAGTTAAGAGACGAGTCGAGTAGAGACTTTTACAGTTTTGATACTTCTTATCAAAATCCTTAAAGTTATGCCTTATGCCTAATACATATCTCAATCAGCAAAGACAATATCTGAACGATCTGGGCCATTAGCCTGATTTGGCCCACATTGCAGCCATCCTGCAGGCCAAAAACACAGATGTTGCCAAACCTCATTATAGCTTCTGGTCATGTGAATCTAATGAAATCTTATGACCAAAAAATGTGTCTAGAAATTTGCAAAGATGTTTGCGCCACTGATGATGCCACACAAAAACAAGTAAGCGACTGAAAAGAAGTGGGGGGGAAATCACACACTCAAAGCGACAAGCACACACAAGGACATTCTATGATATATGAGATAGGGATACATATATACATACTACTATATATATATATAGCCATACTCATCCTGTTTGTGTGCGCTTTCTATGCGTTATGATTATATCTTAATGAATGTTTTGGGGGCAACACATAAATCAAATTGCGAAAACGCCACAAGCAGTTGGACAAAAGGACAAAGGACACTCTCGACAAGGAAGCCTACGAAAATGAAGCAAATAAACGACAGAAAGCTGAGTGGAAAACGTACCACGAACCACGGAAAATTCTGGTTCTAATGTTCGCGTTCGAGGAATGCAAAATCCTAAAAAGGATCCCTTCACTCTGTCAGCCAGCCAGCTCTATTTTCACTTCTCCCTCTCCTTTCGAGCTGTTTTAACGCCGCACTTAGTAACACGACAGCTTGGCAAATGTTTGGCTTTCTGGTTTGATTTCCATTATGGCTCTTGATGTTGGTCACTCATCTTTTTCCCCTCCCCTCCCCCCCACCAACACAGCCAACTCAGCCAAAATAGCAAAACACCCAACACCCAAAGGCATACAACAACAATGGAAAAACTGAGAGAATAATCTTATTTGCTGGGAAAAAAAGATAAAGAGACCAAGCAAGGAAAAGCTGTCTACCAGACGGCAGAGCCTTTAATAAAGCTGTCAACTTGTACTCTGCCGTTGAAAGAACGATCTCAACGATCTCTCTATGTACTGCAGTTCAAGGGGCACAATGCCAGCCCTCCAGTTTCCGCATATAATTTTCCCAAAATCTTCTCCATTTCAACATTTCCAGCGGCTTCCACTTAACCCGGTTAAATCCTGCACTTGCACTGCCAACACTCCCTTTTCCTTTTGCTACTAAAAACTGATAGCTTTTCAGTTTTGGAGAAGCAGCAGCTCTAGTCTAATGGTGCTCCCACCCCCCTGCCAACTCTCCTACGTTTCAGATTCGGATTCGGATTCCGATTTCCATGTCCATGTCCAGAAAAGGGGGCTTTGCTAAGCTTCAGTCTGAATTATGCACAGCTGTGAGTTATTTAAGCGTAAACTATACACACAGCAGGTGGCGATGACACCCCTCTAGCCCCCCTCTCTCCCTTCTTTCACTACTACTACTTTCCCCCCTCAATTTTCACCCACATTTTCACATTGCCTTTCAGCAAATGCAACTGCAAATAGAAATAAATGTCATTGTCCATACAAACTCGTACATATCTATATATATGCATCTCTACAATCTGTATCTATATTTCTCTCAGTTTCTGTTTCTGTTCCTGAGTGCTTGATTGTATGTGTGTGTGTA